ATATATATATATATAGCGGGAGAGAGAGAGAGAGAGAAAGAGGGAGGGAGAGTGGCATATAGTCTACTGGTCGCCACTGCTCGCGTGTGCAGGTACGAGGCTGAACGGAACGCGCACGGGTGCGTGAGTGAAGGGAGCAATAGGTTGACGCCATAATTGCAATCATGGCGGATCAGGTCATTCGGCTGCAGCCGTATGAGTACGTCCACATCCTCGACAACAACACCAGCAAGGTGCTCCTTGTGGAGGGGCCGTGCTGCTTCACGCTGCTCGACCACCACGTCAACCTCCACCCGACGGTGCAGCGCCACGTCGTCATACCGCCGTGCCACTTCTGCGAAGTGGAGAACCCCGTTCTGCTGCCGGTGGACGGCGAGGAGCCGGTGTGCCGCGTTGGCCACCGAGAAGTGCGACTGAGCCAGCCGCCGTTCCCACTATACCCCGGCGAGGTCGCCTCCGATGTGAAGCCGCTGCGTATTCTCTCCGCCTCCGAGGCCGTCGTTGTGCAGGCGTTGGCGGATTATACGTGCACCGATGAGCGCACTGGAGAGGTGCGGCAACGTGTTGCAGGGGAGCAGTGGGTGGTGGCGGGGCCCGGCGTGTACACCCCACGCATAGAAGAGGTGATTGAGCGCAATGTGGAGCCGTTGGTGGTCGCCGAGAATGAGTGTCTGTTGCTGCGCGCGACTGCAAGCTTCACCGACACGGACGGCACACTGCGCTGCCCCGGCGCTGTGTGGCGAATGTCGACGCCGGGGCTGTACTTCCCGGGGCCACACACGGAGCTTCTGAGCGTCGTGCGTGGCACCGCGGTGTTTCCCTCCGCCGCGCTGCGTGTGCGGGCGCTCGGGGCGTTCTTCGACGCCAACTTCGGCGCGGCACGGGTCGCCGGGGATAGGTGGCTCGTGACACACGACGTGGTTTCTGTATTCTTGCCAACGGAGTACGAGGAGATCGAGGCGACGGTCACGCTCACGGTTGTGCGGCAGTGGCAGTACTGCGTGGTGCTGGATGCTGTGCGTGATGGTGTCTGCTGCAGTGGTGCGCAGGAGCTGCGGCGGGGGCCATGCGTCTTCTTTCTGCAGCCCGGTGAATCTCTGCTGGGGGGTGAAGTGAAAGAGGCTTACCTCCTCTCCGCCAACGAGGCTCTCCTTGTTGAGGCGCTGAGCAGCTTCACGGACGAAGGCGAGGAGCGGCGATCCGTCTCCTCGCGCTGGCTGGTGCGGGGGCCGCGCAGCTACATCCCACCGCTGGAGGTGCGCGTGGTGGAGAAGCGCGAGACAATGCTGCTCACCGGCAGCCGTGGCGTGTACGTGCGCAACATCCGCACAGGGAGAATCACGTCGGTGCACGGCAAGGCACTACTGCTGAACGAGGATGAGGTTCTGTGGGAGAAGCCGATTGACCCGTTGGTGCACCGCCTCCTCGCGGCGGAGCATATCTCGGTGTACGATGCTCACGCTCTGAAGGCGTCGGAAGAGGAGGTGGAGCGGTACACATCACACGCCGTTGTCTCCTTCAAGGTGCCGCACAGTTCGCTGGTGCAGCTATATGACTCAAGCACAAACACAAGTCGTGTGGAGGCGGGGCCTGCCACGGTTTTCCTCGCACCAAACGAGGAGTTCACGCCCATTTCGCTCTCGGGTGGACGGCCCAAGGTGCCAGACTGCATTCACTCGTTGTGCCTTTTCCTTGGCCCCGACTTCATGGCGGACGTCATTGAAGTGGAAACGCTCGACCACGCCCGACTACTGCTGCACCTCGCCTACAACTGGGAGTTTGACACGTCCAACAAGGAACACATCAAGCGTGTCGCATTCACCGTGTCAGACTTCGTCGGTATGGCCTGCAAGATGCTGGCGAACCGTATCCGCGCTGCCATCGCAGGGGAGTCATTCGATCACTTTCACCGAAACTCCTCCTCTCTGATACGTCAGGCTATTTTCCACGCTAGTTCAGGCACTACAGAGCTGCGTGGTGATACACTCTACTTTCCTGTTAATGGGCTTGTTATCACCAACGTGGATGTGCAGAGTGTTGAGCCTGTGGAGCTGAACACGCGTAACGCCCTCAAGAAGAGTGTGCAGCTCGCGGTTGAGATAATTACAAAGTCGCAGGAGAATGAGGCTTCCCATCAGGCAATGCTACTGGAACAGGAGGCCAAGGGGGCGGTGGAGCTGCAATTCATGAAGGACAAGGCCTCAGCGGAGGCGGAGCGCGTGACGCTGCTGCAGGTCGCCACGGAGAACACCGCCATTGAGCTGAGCGGCGCTGCCAAGGCGCAGGCGCTCGCTGAGAGCGAGGCGCGGTTGGTGGAGCTGCAGGCCGAGTTGGATGTGACAGGAACACGCTGCGCGGCACATGAAGTGGTGGCCGACGCGGAGCTGAATGTGCAGCGGATGCGCATGGAGTCCGAGCTCGCCCACCGCCGTGCCATGAACGATCTCGCGGTGGCGAAGGCGAAGGCGCTCGCTGACATTGAGGCGACGAAGACCGAGAAGGTATTTAAGGCGCTGGGTAATGGGACACTCGAGGCGATTGCGCGTGCCGGACCGGAGCTGAAGGCAAAACTACTGCAAGCCCTGGGCCTCAAGGGCTTTCTCCTCACGGACGGCGCTGCACCTGTCAACCTGATGGGCATGGCGGACCGCATTGTGCAGGTGCCGCGCGCAAAGTGACTCAACAGCCCAAGCGTACCTGTTACACTGCCGTCGTTGCTCGTTTTATCTTCCTCTTTGATTTGGACAACCTATGTTGTTGTTATTGTTATTGTTGTTGTTGTTATTGCTTGGCTTCTCATTCGGTGGGTTGCTCAGCTACGCTGCCAGTCTTTTTCTTCTTTGCCCGAGGAGCAACGGGCCCCGTTATGTTGTTGTTGTGGTGGTGGTGGTGGGGCCATGCGAATACACCGCTACATGCGCCGCCGCCGCCACCATCCCTGCCATGAACGCACGTATACAACTGTATATATGTATATAAGTGTCTATTATACGTACGTTACTTGCTTATGCTGCAGTGCCTCATTCCAGGGTCATTGGCTTTTGCTTCTTTTTTTTTGGTTTTCTCCTCTCTGTTTCACATTTGCTGATGTGGCTTCTCTTTCCACGACTGGAAGCGGCAGGCGCTGGAGGCGGCGTCACACGTGCACACTTACTCACACGCATACTTCACTGCCCGTTGGTCACGCGTCCATAAATGGAGGCGGCGCTGCAGGAAATTGTGATTGGCACCGATGATGGCGGCAATGGCGGTGGTGCGGAGGCGGTGTGGGAGGAGAACCAGCCGGAGCCGCCCGCCCTCGCGGACGTGGAGGAATGCGTCGCGTCGCTGCGTGCCCTTGTGGCGAACAACGGCACGCCGATTGGGCCGGCGTGCATCCAGCTCATCGACACCATCGTGGACCGTCTTGACCAGGTGTACTTCTGGGCCGTCGAGGAGGGCACAACGTTCCGCCACGAGCCAAGCGGGCTCGCGCAGTGCGAGGTGCCGCGCCTCGCTGTCGCGTGCGTCGCGACGAGGCGGCCGCGAATTGTGACGGCGG